AGGACTAATCACCTAGTGTTGCGCATGTCGGGCACGTACTTTTCGTCAATACAGTGTTGGAGGAATCGGGCCACCGCTAGCGACTTCGTGGGTATACTATCAACTCCATGAAAGCTGTGCTTACGCACACTCAACAGCTTTTTATTACAGCTTCTGCTGTGAAGGATATGTGAGTGAGTTTTGGGGATGGAACAACTACTATTATAGGATTATGTGACCAGTAATTGCACTGAAATATTGCAGCAACTTGTAGCCGCAGGGTATTCACCGCCTCCTTCAGTGTCCGCTGTTTACATTGGAAGAATTCCCTGCTTCACCTTAGGTAGACTGTTGACGTGTTGATACAGAAGCTTTTGATCTGTGGTCATACGCATTGCCAATTTCTGTTGGTATGTCATCCTATCCTGATGAACAAGCTGAGTACAGTGATTACGTTGGGTTGCATAGGCCATCTATTTCTCGGTGCTCGGAGAGAGTTTGTAGAAATGCCAAACTGAGTTTCGCACCGCCATACACTTGCGTGTTTTGCTTCGCAGGAAGGAGAGCACGTTTCTCTGGAAGAAGTATTTCGTTGCTGATGCTTCGGCAACTGCCTAACGAAATGTTCCCATGCACTAGCCGGTGCCTCTTTTGCCAGAAACGTCCAGTTGGCTGTCTCACCTAATCGAGTCAATGTGTCGTAGTGCATAATCGTTTTTATTGCGTCGACGATTTGCACGGTATATTCTGCATATCAAACGCATTCGAAATGTCATCCTCGTCAATATATGATAGCTGAGGGTAAGAAACACACCTCAGCTAATGCGCTGCAATTCAAAAAGATAAGATACTAAAAATAAGACCACAAAAATTCAGAAAAACAAATAATATGATGTTAAATATCATATTATAAATTTCCTGAGACCGTGATTGCGGGGCAAGTCTAAAGGACGGGGGGTGGCCAAAGAATTTAACAACACAAACACTGCGGGGACCGGTTCTTCGCCGTATCGGCAAGTGTATCAAACCGAAGTGTTCTAACAGTGGAACTACATGATGGTTGCAGCCCAGGGGGACAACAAACACCTAAGCGACTATCAATTCTTTGTTGGCGAACATCCGATCCATTATTGACAACTTAACTTTTCTCAGAATCGAGTGGGAGTGTTGATGTGATCATACAGAGGAGAACTGGAGACAGACTTGTAGATCCACCTTAAAGTGCTCTCCAGGAGCAGCTTGGGATCCCAGAGTGTGGATGTTGAAATCGCCAGTAATGACAATGTGACTTTAACTTGTGTTTATTACCCATCTTAGTGTACGACCTGGATACCTCCACGCTTCTCAGCGAAACATTCAATGCCGAACTGTAAGGTCTTCTCATAAGTGCTCCACTGTACAATCACATCAGCTCACCTACCCAGTACGGAGTTTATAACAAGCCATCGGTACTAGGCCTGGTATTTACGAATGAGGAACTCATGATCAATAAGCCAATACCAGACACTACATTAGAGCTAAACAACGGCGTCCTCATACTTTAGATCTTTGTTTGTTACGCATTATCACACGACACAACATGCTGACAGATTGGGACTTTTGGAAAGATGGCTCTCATGACTGCGCTTGGATCCTATTCCTTGAACGTTGCAACAATCTGATCGTAAACACTTCAACTACTTAGCGCTTTAGCTCCACTAATCCATCGTCGTCCATCAGAAGTTACGCTTGAAAAAATGGAACTGGGGAATATGGGTTTGCAGGCTTGCAGAGCCAGACCTGATCACCAAAACTAGAGCTTATACATGACTCAGCGCAACCGTTGTAATACGCTTATTTGTAGGGACAAGGTGCCTCACCAACGACACTTCGCTCCCGTTTATTCGTTTGTGTTGAGTGGTCCATATTCGTCTCTAGGCGAACATTAAATACAAGCTTGGTGGCCATGTTCCGCAGGCAGTTACCCAGAAGCCTGACCATGGGGATTAATCCACACAGGTGTGCGCTGCTCACAACAATATGTGAAGGCGTTAAAGACTAGAAACTTACACGTTGTTGTGCTTCGGAAGGCAATCGGGCAGTTTAATCCGTCTGTCTGTTCGTACTTGCTTCACGCATACGTGCGTCTCCACGTGGAATACGCTATCCTAGCCTGGCAGCCCTGGCACAAACGAGATCTCTCAGCGCTCATGACTACAGCGATGAGAAACCAAACACGTCAAAGGGTTGTTCCACATTCCAAATAAAGTAGACTAAAGACTAAAGTTGTACAGCGATTGCTATCGGCGTCTAAGTGACGACCTAATAATGGCCTACCAGCTTCTGAGGAACCCCGATCACGTCTGCCTCCACCTACTATAACACGGTCACAACACGAATTTTAGGATCCAACAGTTTAGGTTGGTTACGCAATTCAGTCGGTCCTCTGTCTCTCTTCGTGTATGCTAACCATGGAAATCTGTTGAAAATAAAGCTTTTTAAACCTCCTACTGTATCTGCGTGTAAAAAGCGTCCTGACATTGCCTTAACCCAACTCATTTATGATAGATGACATAAAGTGAAAAACGTTGCGTAATCAGCATTAACCTGTACACTCGAGTTTGGCACTCATGCGTACCTGTGTGTGCAACAGCTGACCGAAATGCTTCAAACTATATCATACTGTTGTCTTTCCCCGATGTCATGTATTTCCATCCAGTTATTCCAGCTGAATGCATAAACATTTGCTTTTTCCTGTAATACACCAATTTTCATTGTTCCATCTTTCTCGTTAAAATGTTTGCGCGAACCATTTTTGAAACTTTGGGAGTAGCACATTTTCTAAACCTGCTTACGCTACTCCATTATTGTCCCTAACTTCAAAGCGGCTCAACCTTTGAATGCAGCAAACATAGGGTATTCAGTCCGATCACCACCTTTCATAATTTTATAGCCTCTAAAGCTCTGCACAGAGTGATTGGCATCCGCGAAACCATATTCGTGAAGTGCAAGCCGAGTTTCGTCCATCTCAATGCTGCATTGACCACATCATTGATTTAACCCAATTGCTGAGCACCGCCGCGTGTATAGGCGACCCACTGTAATCGTGCTCCCCAACATCCAAGGTGTCGTTGATTTCGTGGATGGACGTGTCTTTTGAGAATGCTTTGCAAGGGTTTGTCTGAGAAATACGCGTGCATTCTCAGAGCCCTTTATCCCCGTAATTTTGGTAAAATTGGTGGTTATGATAGACTATCGACAGTCCATTATATCTCCAGTATTGTATGGCAGGGTGACTGATGTCATTTTATTTTCCTAAGTGTGTCATTGAGGAAATCAGGGAAATTAAGTCAATAAGACGCTGCATACATGGAGTGGAGCTGATCTTAGGTGCTAGATTTCTTGGCTTGGAGTACGGTGAGGATAATCTCCTAATATGTGACAGCAAACGGGCTTTCCAAACAGCACTGGGCAGAGTAGGGCTGGCCCTCAGCCGTTTCAGGTTCTGTCATGCCCCCTGGAAATTCGGAGTTTTCGGACAAGATTTCTATGGACTGCTACCTGCGCTGACTATTGGTGTGATCAGTAAGAAGTCGTTCAGAAATTCAACTAACTGAGCAACTGTGTCAGCACCTTTGGAATAGAAAATAAGATGAACAGTTTAGGGAAAACTTGAGCTGCCTTTGTTAATCCTCGTTACATTTGACGCAGGCGCAACATTATTCTGGTCCCTAAGGGTATAGGTTGCAGTGCAACCGTACGTTTAATCATATTATGGGGTTGTAAATCCCGCATCACCAAACTGACAGACTTGAAGAGGCTAGTTACTTTCGACTGTCGGAGCTCTCGCACTTTGGTTCGTGTTTGGTTGGAGTACCACAGAAGCAGTGAACGTGCTCCGCGTTTGGTTCATGGACCAAGAAGGGGATGTGAATCGATCAGAACACTATTCCATACACCAAGCTCCATTTGCTGGGCCATGTGTTACACCTGTTACCATATGGACTCTAGTTGAGTGCGTCATTTTGCGCTGTATAGATCTAGGTGGAATTCTGTCAAAAGGGATGGAGTACTTCACATCGAATTTGGCTTCGGCTGGAGCCGCTCGACTTCTCGGTTGGACTCTGTAACACGATAAATACGTTGAGTCGGAAACATCTGTTGGCATGGCAGGAACTAACCTTAATGGATTCGGGCCGTGCGTTTGATTTCCTACTTCATTTTACACAGCCTCTCCCCAACCATGATCTCATTATCTTCTAAGCAAGGCATAAATCAAGGCACACCAATACTTTAAGTTAAATTGCTCCGTTGTGTTTTCTTCTCTCGTTTTAATGCCACCTGATTGAATTGTATCGCGGCATAATGGCTCAGGGGTTTTCATCCCTAGCTATTGTATAGTATGAATGCGTTACTGAATCGATGATTCCAGATAAATGTGCAACCGACTTAACAGTACCCGTGGCCAACATAAGGAACGAAGTGTAAATCATGTAATGCTGAATTTCTTCAATGCACGTTGTTCTCTACAGCTAACAATTTATCTTCCTTAGCAGCTGATTTTCCTTACTAATAGTCAAGTACGATAAGTGACGGGAGTTGTAATCATTAGTAATAATAGTAACAATTTTACTTGTTCTATACACTTAGAAGTAGAAGAGCGGATGGCGCTCTGCTCAGATGTACTTCCCCAACAAGAAAGGTGTCATACCCGTCAGGAACTTTACCCGCTTTTTATTTTTTTACAGTCAAGCGCCTGCAAAATAGAGACTGCGTTTTTGGTTAATTTGGAAGAAATAATCCTGATAAACGTTGGGCCACTTATTTAAGTTCTTTTCGTTATTTATAGAATAAATATGTGAAGCACTGACGTTGCACCATGATATCCGAAAACTATAAGGTTACAGATAAGGATAGCTGATTTGTGTAACAGAAATATTGTAATCAACGTTTACAGGCTGTCCTCAGCTATCTACTGACTATGTTGGACAACAGAAGGCGATCTGAAAAGCGTTGAATGGTCAAACTTAAACCAATCATTGGGTCGCCAAGGGTGTAATTGAAGAATATGGCATCAAAATAGCATCTTAGAGTTCTCGGACGTCATGGCCTGGGTAAAGATGATCCAAGCGAACGAGGCGACGAAAAATATCGGTGAGGATATCCAACTGGCAATCACTGGCCAGTGAGATTGCACGGAAATATACTCCGGTCGATATAGCTATAAAAGATGCGAAATGAATGATTATTGTGAGTATGTACTGGACAGATCAATGGGTTTTGATGTTAGTGATTAGGAACTGTTTGAGAAGAGTGGACCATTTCTATTTATTTGTCTGGGTTTGAACTAATGTGGAGAGGCATAATTGAGAGCATTATATCATCATACCGATTTTGACGTGCGGTAATCATACAAGCCTATAAAAATACTATTTGTCATAAACTACGAGAGGGTGACAAATATATTGTCAGACAGAATGAAAACGAGATTTCCGTGGTATCCGATTTAATGAACACACTGAAAGATATACGGAAAAGATTATGCGTCTTAGTAAATCCCAAAGGAAAAAGAGGAAATGTTTTCTGTTACACGACGACATTCACTGAAGGTAATTGACTACAGCATTTAGAATAAAAAGTGACAACTAAACATGTTAACTGTTAATTGCGCTCGGAAAATCACAGGATTGTCAGACGGTTAATTACGAGCATATATCCACTAGGCTTGATTCAACATCACATTTTGCACCATTTACCATAGCGACGAGACTGGAACTTAAAGTGGTGCGATGATTTAAGTGTCTCAATAATCAATTGAGCAATGCTGGATGGTGCTTTTTGCAACTTCAGAGCCACTCATACCTGCTTGATCAATGGTTGAAGGCTAGACAAACTCAGTCTCCTTCCCTCCAAAATGGGGGCTGTAATGAGGATGGCTTACTCCATAAAATAGACACTCTGTAGCGCAGTACCAAAATTCTGCATCCTTGTGATTAGTTTTCGAAACAAGGGCATTGATTGTGAACCCTAACAGTTCACTACTCTAGGCATGCTCAGATTAACTGTATACTGGCCGCGCAATGCAACGAATTTCCCGTCTAACGGTTTCCTGACGTTTTGTCCGCTGCAGAGGATAAGCAGCGATGCCCTATCTGCTGCATCGAGCAGGGTAGCAACCTAGTGTTCTTATCCCTCCTTTCGCAATTTTTGACACCATTCGCCCTGTTTCAAATTCATATTTACCCCCTTTGTTCAGAACCGAAATCCTTGGCTCTTCACCACTTTGTTTTGACAGTCGTTTGTGTTGTAGCTTCAACTCACACGTAGTCGCTGAGCGTCTTTCCGGTCCACTCGACAAGTCCACCTACAACCAGCCAAACAATGTCAGCTCATCTGTTTCTATGCAAATCCTTCAATCCTCTTTGAAGCTGACATGTCTCAAAATGCGTACTTTGATATAGGTTGGCCAGCAAGCATCAATTGAAGGAACACCAGCGATCTTAGCGATAGATACTTGTTTATCGGAACCGCCGATTGCAAAATTCGGGTCCTGCGTTTAACCTGTAACCTCTCGCATGTGACACGGGCGGCACCTTCCCACTGTCTTTATCCGTAGATGACACAGCTTCAAATGCCGGTCAAACCGGTCTGGGCATTGTATTGAGCCTTTGGGCTAAGCTGCCCTGCACGATCGGATTCCAGTCAACAGCCGGACTTGCGCTTTCAGACTGGCTGGCTGGTTCAGAGCTTTGACGTCGCAAGGTGATAAGTTGTAGCTGTTTGTCATTGTTACGTACGCCCCACAAACAGTAGCACTGACTCGGTGAAAGTTGACTGCTATCATCAGCTGAAATAGCTCCTTCGCTACAGAAAGAGTACGGTTACTGTGTTGCCCGCTGGTGATCTGAAGGCTCAGTGGAACAATGGTTTTATATGGGTATAAAAGCCAAAGCTAAACAGATCCCGTAGCATGATCATGGTGAAAGTTCAAGCTAGAAAAGAGTTCACAGATGAGCTGAATTTATTCGGCCAACACGGTATAATCTCCCGTAATGATAACGGCGAGCGGTTGGTACACTAGTGTGAAGACGCTTATCTCTTTCTTGTGAGCACTAACTTCTGACATAGCACCACTCGGAGGGTGACATGGCAACCAACAGCTTCGGACCAGCCATGGACACAAAGCGATCATATCGCAATTAATTACCTCAAGAGAGGCCGGGTCTTAAAAGGCCGCTCGATTTGTAGCACGAGCGTGCACTCTGACCACGCTCTTTTATTTGCCAGTCTGCAAGTGCTACTCGGCAGGAATCCGAAAACACGATGTGAGCGCATATATGCTTACCAACTGGCAAAGCTGAATGTTCCGAACGCGTATCATCTTACGCAGGCATCCAAGCTGATCTGAGATAATTTGTCGCATGTTCGTCAAACGTTATTAGGAGCAGGTGTATTTTGGTGTAGTAAATCAAATTACCAAACTGGACATTAGGTCTCTACGCAGAGTTGGAAACTCCAGACGCTCACCGAACACAATGAAACTCGCAAAGATTTCAGGACCAAACTGTGCGATAGCCTGCGAAGCCTGGTGGTCTCATCGTGTCTCCGAGATGGAAAGATCAGATGCCAGTCTGGTAAGGTAAACGGGCAGCAAAAACCCGTTAAGACCATACGCGGTGAGAGTGAACAGCAAATACACAGCTTTTCAGAACGTTTGGAAAGTTGACCCGAACAAATTGAAATACAGTTTAAGCAACCTGACTTATCATCCATCTTGTAGTGAACTGATTGCATATTTTCCTGGGCAGTTTCCTTGGACCCATCTTTGAACGTGAGATAAGAGCCGATGAATTTCTTACAGCTCTTATCGGATCCATGGCATCAGCCCAAGTGAATGATTTGTACCACTAGCTGGTAAAGCTGTGGGGGCAGGAGATTGTCCCAACAAACAGGAGACGCCCAGTCATAAGCCCTGTTTTCAAGGGAGATTCATGTTCAGAATGTGGCAGTCATAGAAGGATCAGTTCGCTGTCAATTGCCTCTAAATTGCCTTCACCTATCTTTCTCCACAGACTGGCTAGCAACGGTAAAGGCCAAATTCGTAAGCATCAATGCCGGTTTATGTAGAAATCGGGGTTGAATTGGCCACATATTAACTTCAAGTCAGATGCAGGTACAATGCAATATTAATTGCCGACTCACCGTAGTCGAGTTTCTCGACATCAAATGCTCCTCCTATTTGGTGAATCTATGTGCACTTTGGAATTTGTTGCTCAGGGAAGGCGTAAGCAACAAATTTGTAAATAGTAGCAAGGCGTTGTACGCGCACATTTCGGGGAGAGTGAAGGTTTACTGCAAACTCTCGTCACCCTACAACTTCTCTAGCGGTGTGAGACAAGGTTGCTCGCTATCACCTTTTCTCTTTAACTTCGCTATTGACGAAGTCATAAGAACAACGTTCGCTAAGCACGACTTAAAAGGTGTGGAGCTGCTCCCAAGTGACCGACTTCTTGGCTTACAATATAAAGAGAAAATTGCCCTCATTTGGGACAGCTCCCAAATGTGCCAAGCAGCAATTGACAACGTGGCACTGGCTGTCAGTCTATTAGAACAACAACTTACATCTTCTGCGCTAACCCTTAGTAGTGAGTATCTAGAAGTCGTTCAGAAATTCAATCCTCTAAGCAGCTGTATGAGCACCGATATTTGTGGTAATAATTAGATAGCTAATCTCCTACACCTGTTGCACAAGCGAGGTGTAACTCTCGCCCAGAATGAGAGAATTTACAACGCAGCCGTCCATTACAACAATCCTGTACTGGTGGGAAAACTAGCATATCAAGTGGACAGTCATAAATAGGCTAGTACCGATCGAGAATCGCTGTCTTCGCAATTTGGCTCACGCTCGTTAGGAACGCCATGAGCAATGCACTTACTTGTTGTAGTTTATGTGATGCAGGAAAAGGAAGTTAAAAGCTCGGTATAGTTATATCCCGCAAACTTGCGGCAAAGTTCCGAAAAAAATCCAAAAATTTGCATAGGTGGTCCCGAATTTTGCAAAACCCTGTGCGATTCGTCAGCAGCTCTGAGACAATCCTATAAACCAAGTGTGAGAATACTGTGCTCTCACTGGCCGAACGCTACGATCGGCGCTTCAGTCAAATCAAGGGAACGCGCTGCCGGTTGACTGGTTGACACTTGCGAACGAACCTTGGACATCAGCGGTGCAACGAACCTGTATGCCCCCCTCATGTTTGAAACGCTGGATCATAATTAGTCTGAAGGCAGTGAAATGCCGCAACATAAATGCACAAGCGAATCGATGACTTTGATTCCAGTGCCGTCAACATGCAATTTCCTGTTTGTGGCCGAGTTGTGGATGCTTGGGTGAACGATAATGACTGGCAGGTCGTGGCAACTGTGAACAATATGCAATAGAAAACAACCCACTCCTGAATTCATTGTTCGCCTGATCAGGAGAATAGTAAAACGCACTTATGCGGTCGCAAGCGCATTCTGTCGGAAGAAGTGTAGATGCCATCCTGGAGTGCATAGCAATTGACTCAACTCCCACACTACAGGAAATGCGAGTACGAGTACGGGCAGAAATGCACAAGAACATTTCAGTCAACAATCCCACGACACCTGGGTGGCCGTCTGATAATAGTGACGAACACCTGTCAGATTCCTCAAGGAATGAACAATGAGCGAACCAAATGGATACTAATGGAATTCGATTAGCCTTTTTACAAAAATGAAAGTGTTTGGAAGTTCTTCATTTGGATTGACGAAACAGACTTCAACATTTACTGCAAACGTACTCATTGTGGGGCGCTAAGTTGAGTGAGGAGCTGCTTCAAAATGGCCAGCAGTAGAGATCTCAGTTTGCATTTTGTCAGTGCATTCACAATGGAATGAAAAGCGTCGATGGTTCCCCGGAGAGGCCCATTCACTGTTCCCCTATTTCTCGAATGGCAGCGAAGCAATTCAGACAAGCTGAAGCGGGAATTTGAGCTCCGGAAGATTATCGTAGTATGCGATAATGCACCGCGTCACACACGTTTGGAAAACGGTTCGTCATTAGAATGATACGAAGGGGTCACCATGCTGAGATTGAGCCCATACTCCTCATTACTCAAACCTAGGGAAATGTTTGGCAGGTGGTGAAGCCCAGACTGATGAGTGAGATGAGACTACACTACGATCCCCAGAACCTTATGACGCAGTTGTAATGGAGGTTGCAGTCTCTGGAATGCATGGCCAGAGTATCAACCAGTGACATCAATGTTGCGGGATGTCATAATGCGATTTGACAAATCCGTGTACATTTTCATAATTGTTTAGAAAGAATGACATGTTTTTATCACAATTGTGGCCCATTTTTATATATCTGGTTGTATAGCATATGCAATTGGGAGTCAGTAGGGACACAAGGAAATTTAAAGTCTAGATAAAATGGGTATGTACTTTTGTAAGGTTATGCATTCGTAAGGGGGTTTGAAGCGATATCTGATGTCTAGCGCAAGGCAGTAACACGGGACCGGCTTCCAGTGAGACATGTCCGAGTGCTATGCCCAGTGTGTGGTCTACTGCGTCTTAGTGTCCGTCGCGCCTTATTCGTTTATGCTCAACCTTAGATAAGGTAGATAGGGTTTCTTTATTCGAAAAACAAGGATGGCTGGAACAGGTATTATCGAAATATTGAGTCATGTATGCTGCGCAAGTAACTGCATCAGAAAAGCCAGGAATGATGGATTCACCAGAAATAAGTCAGATCGAAACCAGCATCAAAATGACCAAGTCGCTCTCTGATTCTAAGACCATAAGAGTTACACGACGCATTGTGAGTAAACCAGGCGGGTTATTGTAGGCCCAAGTGAGTTTGCTGGGTGGAGTAACCATCAGATACTATATTACCGTATGGTATATCGGCGTGTTGAATACTAGGGAATGGGAAACAACTGAACAAATCACTTCAACTTTCGCAACGAGTGAGAGGAACTGGTAGATACGCAGATGCGAGTTCACAAACTCCTCCTTTGCTAAACAAGGTGCGTCACTGAAACTGACAGCATGTTAGGCAGATAGCATCACTCACTGATGAACGTACACTTCTTTGCGTTAGGTGAACCACTCATTCAAAGTTTACCAATTAAGTAAGAGGGATTTATGCGGCCGATTCTAACCAAGCACAATACTCATATTTATAGATCCGGTTCAGTGCCAAAGTAAACACGATCATTTATTCAGGGCAAGTCATAATATGCATTATGTACCCAACTGAGTGCGTGTTCAGCATTTCACGATATCAACTGCAAATGCACTAGATTGGCACGAAAGGCATACTTTTACACATGAGTAGACAACTATGCAAAGGGGGTGCAATGCCTTTATTCAGACTTTCCAGAGCAACAAGCGCACAATGTTTAGCAGGATTTTCGGGATATTGCACTGTCCTCATGGTAACGGTTTAGTAACATGTTTCTTCATAACAGTTTTCAGCTGACGAAAGTCTTCGTGTCCAAAAACAATGAATCTGGAATATTGCATGAAATCTTAGCATGTGTATTCAAAAGGTGGATGAAGTGAAACGTTCTCAGTGACACCGGAAATTGTTTGAACAACGAATATATCAGACTATTCGTGCAAAACTGACTTACATACAGTTCATAAAGTAGGATTAAGTTTGGCGAAAAAGCAACGGCCGATGTAAAGGTCCTGTGACACTTAAGAGAGCTGACTGCTAAAAGCATACAGAATACCTCAAAGCTGAATTTATCTTGCCTTTTAATATTTCCAAGAATTTTGTTGCATGGAAAAACGGCCACTAACCCATTCGGAGAGTTTTGAGTCAGTTTTCCTAGCAGGTCGGTTAGTTGCAATTAAAGCTACACAGAATACTCCAAATTGTTGGAAGTTCCTATTCTGCTGGTAGAAGCATTAAACACTGCCTCTCCCGCTCTGTTGTGATAGCGATTAAACAGATGCATAAATTTAACGCATTACAATCCCAGCAGTAAACGGCTTATTCGCCTACATAATGAAGGATTGCAATATCTGCGCCATCTTACCAGCACATTGTTAACTCTAGTTAAGAGGCAAGTGAAAGGATGTTTGTTAGCCTTCGACTTAAACTAAAGCCCGGCTATTGATCAAAAAGTTGTTTTCTGTCGTGACGTCAACCCAGCGGACACATTAACTTGCTGCGTATAAAGAATATATCAGATATAAATGCGAAAACAGAATTAGTAACTACCTATACAATAAACAACATAGAATGTTTTGAAAACTCAGCGGAACACACCTGTTCAGGAATTCTCGTTAGGGGATGACATGGTCCCCACTCGTCCTCCAGCCTATTCAATTTCGTGTGGTGGATACAGTTCGCAAATATCACGAACACACCTAAGGCAGAGGTGCAGAAAAGCAGAAGGCAGGACGACGAGTATGCGGGCCATTTAAATTTAGAAATTAGAAAAAGGAAATTTTCATTTTATTTCCAAAAAGAAAATCAGCATAAATAACCTGCATGATTTAGTTTGTTGGGGTATAATTATGAACCCCTGACATGCAACCAGTAATAACTATGTAAAAATGTGGCAAAGCGAAGTGTCTCGCGCTAACCTGTTACGCTCGGATTCGAAGTCAACTGTTTCTGCACGCACATAGCGGATAAGCGCGTTGGAGTCTTGTTTGGCTCCCACATACCATTGACAAATGGTACAAATGGAACAAGGTTAGGGAAGCTGGGCTAAATCATTCATTTGTCGTAATAGATCCAATAGGATGGACAATAATCGGAGCAACAGGAGGGAAAACAGCTTCTTAAGCCTCCATGAATCATGGTCAGATTGCTAAGCTATCGGTGGAGGAAATCTCTGGCTATTATGTGACAGTGAATTCGACGGTGTCAGTCGTGCAGCTCGATCGCTGCCATAATGCATACAATGTTCATCGGTCCATTTCCGGGACGCTTAGTGGATAGGCACATTTAGATCGACCTCCTCTAGTGCAGTTAGAGAGTACACAACTAATAACTGTGCAATGGCACACAACGCTTACAGAGATTGCAAAAGCGATGAAGTGAAAACTATTTCCTTCACGAAGGACACAAGACCGTGATAGAAAATACCCAGTTAAAAACGTACTATTTCCTTCCCAGCCGTCTAACTCGGGTCCAGTTATGCAACCCCGAGTATACTCACCATATCGTGCTGTGCCAAACCAAAAGAAACCTGCGAAATTACGACTGATTGTGGACTGTGCCTCAAAGCCTGGCGTCGTCTCCTTAAATGACCGCCTATTACAGGGTCTGGACGCTTCCAACACAAGATAATTGTCATCAGAGCTCATATGATAGAAATGTTCATGCAAGTAGGTGCACCGAAGAAAGGTAGAAGCGCACTACGTTCACCATGGCGGCGAAACGAAGACATGGTTGCAAGCGTTGTGCAGCACCAAATAACAGCCCATCCGTTTGGGACAAGTTCACCGAAGTTATATGGCAGCTTCGCGTGACTTTGGATAGTTGAGGAACGGAGAAAGCAGAACAAGGCATTTGACGAAAACATTTACGTCAAAGGGGGTTATGTTTCATTACCGTCTCCGCAAAAAACCGTAGAATTTGTCGCGCAAATTCGTGAGGTACTCGATAGTAAAGCAATCTTACTAAAAGTAGGTTTTTAACTATCCCGAGATATCAAACGCTCTGCCACCGTCGGATGTTGTAGCAGTGGTCAGGTCAATTTGCATATCGGGAGGACCAATACTTCGGACACCAGATCTATATTGGAATGCTGAAGAGAACTGCTTCCTATTCAGTTTTGTAGTGAAGGACGAGCGGAAAAGGCGAAGCGCATCCTTGTCCTCAGTGTCTTCGCTCTGAAAGAGTGTAAGCGAAATATGTCTCCAACATATATTCAGGCTTACACAATTATATGTGACAAACAAATTGGAGGACACAAAATACGGGTCTGTAAAATAGGTTCAGTTCAACATTGCTGAACGCTCGCAATCATCATCCATATGGTCGCAGCTGCGGCGTGTGCAAAACCCCGTACGCTGGACTTCACAATTCCATTGGGCTAAGGCAGTCTTTACATCGGCGCAAACCGTATCTGAACACGAAACTACGGTTCCTACAGCTGGTTTCCGATGGCCTCAGCGGATTCAAGTAGACGTCTACTGATGCAATTTGATCGATTGTTCGGTGCCTGATAGATAGCGTTAAATGACAGCCAACTTGGTAGCATGCCCAGTGCCGAGAGATGTGTAGCTGTAGATGAGCCGGTGGGTTTTCGAGGCCCAGTAAAGAGCCAAGCTGCATGATTGTCCTTTGGCAAATATAGTGAACGAGTAAGTGCACATTGATTTGACATGAGCAGGTCTACTGCCTTTGGGGCTACTGGTAAAGTGTGTCTGAAGGCATCAGAAAAGCGATGAATCAGGATTCCAACAGTGATTTATCAGTTGTACGGCAGTCGTAGAGATGTAAGCTTTTCTTTGCCTTCTTGGGCCTTCTATTTGCTTCATGTCGACATTCAGTAAACTGTCCGGGCAGCCGTTTTAGCTCAGCATTTAGCGTAGGTAATTCAGTTCTTCGGAAAATCTATCGTTCGACTAAATTCTTTCTGCCCGACTTACTAGACTAAGGGTCAGGTTCCGTTTTGATCTCAGTGGAGCGAAACCGTGGAAATTCGCATAAGCCTCTAGTCACTTCATGGTCACGTCGAGAAAATGAAGAAAATCATTTTCTTCCACTACGGAGGTGAGCCTCGGCGCTTCGCGCACGTGAATGATTTCGTTATTGAGGTTATTGTATGTAAGAATACGATACCTAGGATACGGATGTAATGGGTACAACGAAAAAAGATGCTGTATTTTCTGGTTGAAAACATCTGACTGAATAGCTTCGGTTCACCTACTCCTGTGTGGCTCAGTACATTGGACCTGCGAGCAGGCCCTTAAAAAAGCGAATCATGAAACATTTGCGGAATTCGTTCATCGAGCAGAAAGACAGAACCACTTAAACAGCAATAAAATGTTACCCTATTCAGACTGAGCATCCAAAAGACTGGTGTAGGGCATTCAAAATCGTGTGTAGAGCGCCGCCGTAACTAAATCACAGCTGCTTACTGCCACTGTATGCATTCGATTTACAAACATATTTATTCACACAGGAGTCACGTGCTCCGCCCACCAGTGGTTGTGATAATCAACCATAAGTCTTCCACTGCAAGATTAAGGGTATCTAGCCTGATTAAGTTCTACTCTCCGTTTCTCACAATATGACGGTCATGGTTGTATAGGAAGAGTCAACTCGTCATGCATTTTTTGGTTGTGCATCCAGTGATATTCTCAGGGGTGCAGTCGTTGGACAACTTGCGTGCTCGTCTACGAGACACACAGGCTGTCGCAGCCATTGATTCAAATGAACTCGAAATATCCGCCCATCATTTTAATTGCTCTTAGAGAATCAAAACTTTGTTCATCTCGCAACTACCTGGATTAAACATTTATTCCTTCACTTAAGTTAAAGATATCTTGCGTTGCCTGTATCAGCCAATTAGTCTGCAGTTTCGTGCCGTCTTCGCGTTGCCGAACTGACACCAAAAAATTATAAGTACTTTGTGCTCGATATGTTTTCAACTTTCCCCCAATTCAGTCTTGACCAGTACCTTTCAACAACGCAATTGAGCGCATATAGGAAATACCAGTATCTGTAACGCATGTCAGGCTGGCCAATCGGCTAGTTATATTGGATAGAAAATGCTCACATGTCTGCGCTTGTGTTTGGGGGCACACAATCGCGTGCAAACCTATGGATTTTGCTCCACCCTTTGCTGGTTTGCAGGACTTTCGTCGAGAGATGTGCATACTGAGACCACATGAGCCAGTCGAAGGGGCGATAAGTTCGGTCCAGCGAGGAAGATGACTATTTGGCAGTGCAGGCGCAAATGTTACCTCAAAATCCGACGGCCAGCGGTGTTGCGGGACGAGTGACAGACAGCTGAATGATCGACAGATTCTGCTCTGTGTTGTCTTCAAAATTTTACGTTTGGCCAACATAAACGGTGCCATTCTTATACTTTATCACTTTGTTGCGGCCTCAGAAACGGAAAACGAGCTTTGCCGTCGGTGGCGAAATCCGTTACGTACATGATGAACAGCGTGCTTTTATCATTCGTCTGGCTGGCGATTGTGGGTTAAAAGTTGTGGCAACTGCAAGAAAGTATACGTTCTCAACACTGGAATGCGCCCACCAACCGCTGTTACGCTCAGAAATTGATGGAAACGTTTCACAAACCTTGGTATGTGGGCAACGCCAAAAATATCCGGCCAGCCTCGCACCAATACGGATGATTTTGCAACTTACACTGTTGTATGCGAAATATCTGCGAAACACAAGCACAGCATTCATAGAACCGCTCAAGGTTACAACGCAACGCGATATGCTGATCAGAGCGTTTGATGGAAATAAATTTTCGGTTTCGGGCACTCAATGTTCAGATATTGAACCCAAACGATCCGGATAAACGGATGTATTTGTAGTTGGTTTTTGGGTCGCATGACCATTCACCCTGCACTTTTCACTGAGGAGTCAGTTTTCCATTGGTATGGAACAGACAAACAGCATTGCTGGGCTGGATCTAATCTATACCTATACACAAAGCCACCTATTTAGCATGGCGCGAAGCTAATGCTTGGTACTGCTTTTACTAGTTAGAAAGCAGTTAGACATTTTTTTCTTTTCAAGGAACGTGACCGGTAAGTTGGCTTACATTATTTAACCGTTAGTTTTCATAGCATTGTCGTGTACTGTGTACTTCCACAGTTGGAGGCAGACGGATTTTCCCTACCATTTATGGCAACCTCATGGTGCACCAACTCATTATGCTCAATCGGTGCGGAAATATCTCGACGAACATTTCGGCCAACTTTGGATCGGTCGTGGAAAACGAATGGAGTGACCCGCACGGACACCGGATCTAAAATATCTGGATTTTGTCCATGGGGCTATTTGAAACGAAAGATGTACAAAAACAAGCTGAATTCCTTGGAACCAATGAAACACACTTTTTGAATTAATGCCACGCCATCACCAGTGGGAGGTTGCGGAAACGGTTTGTCAACCGCCTCAGGCGATTTCTGTTCTCAAGCAGAATGAAGGTTTACACTTTCAACATCTCATGCGGTGATGTCTATGTTAGTTTGACTCTGCTTATGTTAAATAACGTATCCTCGATTACCTATGAATTACAGTCTAAATCGGTACACGGGCTAATGGTGCCAATAGCGGGTCGGGGCAAAGGTAATTCGAAGAGCATTGGCTGCGACTTTAGCGCTCTGCGACACGCCGAACACTGTGCGAGTTGGGGGACACTATATTTCACTGTTCGAATGCT